CATGTCAATTACCGCCTGTACTTTTTCCGGATTAGCCTCAATTCCCCTTTGATCAATTAGAAATCCGAGGAACTTCCCAGACTCAACACCAAAGACACACTTCTTGGGATTGAGCATGACCTTGTGCCGCCTGAGTGTGGTGAACGTTTCTCGGAGGTCAGCTAGGTGATCCGTCTGTAGCTTGGATTTGACTATCATGTCATCGATATACGCCTCTATATTCCTGCCTATTTGATGGAGGAAAACCGTGTTTATCATTCGTTGAAATGTAGCAGGCGCATTCTTCAACCCAAACGGCATCACAGTGTAACAAAATAACCCCTGATCAGTGACGAATGCCGTCTTTTCTTGATCTTTTTTCCAGAGGGGTATCTGATGGAAGCCCGAGTAGGCGTCCATGAAGCTCATCAAAGCATGACCGGCTGTAGAGTCGACTAAGCTGTCGATCTGTGGAAGCGGGTAACTGTCTTTCGAACATGTTCTGTTCAGATATGTATAGTCTACACACATCCGCCAGGTTCCGTTCGGCTTTTTAACCAGGACAACGTTTGCTACCCAATCCGGGTAGTAGCATTGCCGAATGAACCCAGCATCTAACAACTTCTTGACCTCGGCGGCTTCCGCCTGAGATCTCTCCTTGCCATGGTTTCTCTTTTTCTGCCTAACCGGCTTCTTTTTTGGATCCACGGCGAGTTTGTGGACAGCTAGATCCGGGCTTAAGCCTGGCATCTCTTCCACTTCAAAGGAAAAAAGTCTTTGGATTCCTTCAGCAGTTGGAGCAAATCTGCCCCCAACACCTCAAAAGCAACCGTCCCAACCTTGACGGCTCTATCGGGCAGGTTGTCGTCCAGGACGACATCAACGCTTTCTCCTGCCGGTTGGGGTTGAAAGTCATCCGACCTTTCTCCGGCAAGTGATTGCTATTGCTTTTCTTTTTTGACGGGTGCCAGTTGGTCCGCCTTTCTTTTCTTACCGGCTGCCCTTGGAGCCAGACTGCTAGATCGCAGTTATCAACGTCTATGGGCTCACCTTGACTGGTTGTACCCATAGTTGGCTTGACGTCAGAGAGATAGCACTCCATAGCCGTCTTCTGGTCCCCGTTTAAGGAACCGACTGTGCCATCATCCTTCTCAAATTTGACTAGCATGAGAGACGGGATAATGACAGCTTTAGACTCGTTGAGGGTCGGACAGCCAAATATCACGTTGTAGGCGGTCAGTTCCTCCACAACTAAGAACTTGAAAACCATGTGGCGTCCTTGCCCCTTTTCACCCAAACGGATAGGAAGGTCAATGCTTCCTACCGGATGCACCACTCCTCCCCCAAAACCAACTAAGGGGTGAGGCGCCTGCTGCATGTTGGTGGGCTTGTACTTGAGCATTGTCAAGCACTGATAGCAGATCAGGTCAGACGAGCTCCCGGTATCTATTAAGATCCGACCAACCTTTTGATTGGCAACCTTGCATTCGATGACGATGAGGTCATCGTGAGGCCGTCTGACCTTGCCCCGGTCCTTTTCAGAAACAAGGACCTAAGGAAAGATGTCTTTCGACGCCTGGCCCTCATCCACTGAGTTGACCAGCTTCCTGATGTTATCTTTCGTTCCCCGGATGGTTGGGCCTCCACCGGCAAAACCGCCTGCTATGGTGAACACAGTCTCTTCATCCGTTTTAGAGTTAGCAGGGCCTGTTTTTGCCGTCTGCCTCTTGTTTAATTTGGGGTTGCCTTTGGGTTTTGGCAGGTAAGACTTTAGGGCTCCCTCGTCAGCCAGACGGTCTAACAGCCGCCTGAGGCTATAACAGCCATTAGTGTCATGGCCAACATCCTCGTGGTATTGGCAGTACTTGCTCTTATCCCGGCTACTGGCGGGACTTTTCATGGCGGCCGGTTTCTGGAGGGACAACCGGTCCTTGATTTCCATGAGGATGGAGGTGCAGTCTTTTGTGAACTCGTACTTAGGGACGTACGGTTCGGATTTTCTTCTTGCCTTCTGGGCCAGCTGACCAGAACGATCTGCCGCCCAGATTCCTTTTCTTTTGTCTTCCTTTTTTGCCGGCTGCTGTGGCCGATTATCTCTCTTGTCATATTTCTTGAAATATGACGGTTTCTTTACAGCACAAAGCTCTGTCGCCTGTATATAAGCTTCTACTTCCATTAACGCCTCTTGGAGGGTGGCTACCCTTTTCCGGACGAGGCCGAACTTGAAGGTCGACCCGTCCTTCAGACCCTTGAACAAGTCTGTGTAAGCAACCTCGTCAGACAACCCTTGAATCTGAATTCTCATCAGATTGAACCGTCTGACGTAGGACCAGAGTCCTTCCTTCTCACCCTGCTGTACTGCCCCAAGATCAAGGCTGGTCTTTTTGGCAGGGATATTCATTGAGAAGTTTGACGTGAATAAATACGCCAAAGTTCTGAAGTTGTTTATGCATCCGGCTGGTAGATTACCAAATCACCGTTGGGCAATGCCCTTCAGGGTAGCCGGGAAGCATCGACACCAGGTGGCATCATCCAACCCTTGCAGATACATGAGGTTGGAGTATGCCATTAGGTGGTGCCATTAGGTTGGAGTCTTCCGGGTTGGAGGTGCCATCATAGGCACCTACCAACACATTCTTGACCTTAGGCGGCTGTGCCGCCTGGGTTATGTCTGGCGAGAACGTCGTTGGTTGTTCTCCCAAATTAAGCAGGCGCAGCTGCCAATCCGTGGGTTAGAACGGCTACTGCACATGACCCCCAAAGAGGCCTGGTGCGGAAAAAGGGGATCCACCCGGTACATATGGAGGACCATATTGTCCCGGCTGGATCACTTTGGGACCAGATCGCGCAAAAGGTTCGCGAGACTGACCCGTTTGGTCTGTTTTCGAGTGTCTGACGGAGACAGTACTGAGACTGTCAGGAAAGGTCGACGTTGAAGCCGACGCAGACAGTTGTTGATTTCTCTTCTCCTGGAGAAACGTCCGGGCGTCAGAGAAGGATTTCTTGGATCCATCCGGTTGTACGTGTCGGATGGATTTTCTGTGCTCCATTTGAGGAAATCGGAGCCTATTTAAGTCAATCTAGGGCCCCTCCCCCGCCTTGGGTTTCGGATGAGAAGTGGGCATGCGGTCTTTCAAAGCCTTCTTCCCAGATGATGAAGGCTTCTTGGCTGGCTGACCCTTTTGGGGGGTGGCTGACCGGATGAGATTCTTTATCTCGCCTTTGAAACTATTCATGAAAGTCATGAGTTCGTTTCTCGTGACGGGAGCAGATCCCGCTGCTGCTTGGGCTTCCCCAAACGGCATACCGTTTGTGTTGTTGGGAGCAGCTTGTCTCTCACCTCGTTCCTTCATCTCTTTGGAACGGGTGTGTTTTGTCCTAAAGGACCCGTCTGGGGCCACGTAGGTGTTGATTTCATAGTCATCACCACTTTCGTGGTCCGTCTGGACCTCCGGTTCGGCCAGGGGCCGTTTGTCCAGATTCGTTGGTACAGTATCAGAAGTCATCTTAGAAGTACCCACCCCACAGACGGCGCCAATGTTTCGGGGTTTTTTTGATGTGTCCTGCGGGAGAGTTACGGTTCCAAGACTGAGCTGCTGGATGCCTGTACCTGCAAGATCACGAAGACTCCGGTTGGTAGGAGCTTCGCCTCCGACGATCAAGTTAGTATATGTACAGGAGGAAAAGAGTACGGAATGGATGAAATTCTTCTCGCTGATTGGGAGAATTCCGCAATTAATATTGCTCGGTAATAGTGTTTGTATTTATGAATGAATCCCATTAATGAGGTTTGCCCCACTGTTTATAGTAGGGCAGACAAGTTCCCCATGGAGGTCAAGGACACGTGTCAACAGGGGATTGGAGCCCTGTCGACTAATGGCGATGTGCCACATGTCACCAGCCCATTGGGCCACGTGTCTAGGGTAATTTTACCCTAAACAAGTATCAAGTGAAAAAGCTAGATACATCAATTCATTAAAGAATTAAGTGTAATATATGGATTGCAATAATATAATGGTTGATTTAATTTATCAAAGATTTTCCAAGAACATTTGTAGTTAATAAATGTGCTTATGGATCATATATGAAGTTTAAAATTATACTAGAGTTGAGAAAGATAGTTACTGATCGTACTTAGTGTTAATACAAAGCAAATTACGCAAAAAATTGGCAATCAATTAAGGCAAAAACGTTTGATTTGGCATTACACGGTCAAAACGAGCAAAGTGGCCATGTTGGGCGAGCACAAGTCATGACTTCGCTATTATCTTAGTTTCTACTTAGATGTTTTGTGCCCGATTGAACAAAAGGTATTGACAATTTTGAAGGTTTTTCCATGGTGCTTGGCATGCCCAACTAGCGGAGTTCAAGTTCGACTGTTATAAACGGTTTTTGAATACTTTGCTTTGTGAACGGACATGATTATTGGTTATCAATTGTACTTCACATATGCTCCATAAATAAGAGTTTAGGTGACATAGTCTCCGTTCACTTCATCTTATTTTTGCTGAACTGAAATTAATTTTACTGAACTGAAATTATTTTTACTGAACTGAAATTAATTTTGCTAAATTGAAATTATTTTTACTGATTCTCTATTATATTTTTTCTTTATAGTTACTGATTTTTGCTGAACTGAAATTATTTTTACTGAACTGAAATTAATTTTACTGAACGGAACTTATTTTTGCTGAACTGAACTTATTTTTACTGAATTGAAATTATTTTTACCGAATATTATTTTTTTAAGGTGAACTGAACAGAGCATGATGGATGACGAAAGAATATACAAGTATCATTTTTATTGCTTCATTTGAGAGAAATTTTTCGAACAGGAGCATTTTCTTTGTGTTAAGGTAAGTTGAGGTCACTCAACTTTGAGTAAAGTTGCACTTAGGATACTAAATTTTGCAAAGTTGCACTTAGGTCATTCGTTCAGAACAAGCTACAAGTATATTCGTAACAATAAAAAATAAAAAAAATAAAAAAATAAATGAAAAAAAAACTCTTTTTTAGCCTGAAAACGCTGATCTTTTTAAAAGTTACATTAAGAGAATTCAAACAATATTTATCAGACTATATTGGTTTTTTTAAAAATCTTACGAGTACAATATTTCAATTGAGACAGTTTCAAGGAAACAAATAGAGTAATAAGTTGATCACAAGTCATCAATTGGAACAAATTATATGAATTTACCACAGTACATTTAAGGGTGCGTGGTGAATAAAGATGGGCCTCTCACGTTTTTATTAAGATGACCTTACATTTGTTTAATAATTTATTCTCCTACAATTTTCCCTAATTTCGCCAGCATTTCCTTGTTGGATGTTTCCCATTTTTACAATGGCTTTTACAAAGCTTTGTCTAAAATTATTGTTATTGGCGGCTAGGTTTGAGACCAATTTAGCACTTAAAGAGTCGAGAGCTAGCTCTTGGTCAATTTGCAATATCCCTCGATTTTTTCTAATTTGGTTGTAGTACTCGTTATCAAAAACAAAAGATGTGTTTTGATCAAGGAAAGTACTGGGATTTACGTTTGGATTAGATCCACAAAGCCCGCTAAACTTTTTAACCAATGCCTTGTCCATGGTACGATCAGGTGTACCTGTACCTTGAAAGTTGGATAACCTATCCTTAAAGAAATTGCAATGGGCTACTCCTATGGTATGACCAGCACCCAATAAAACCACCATGTCATTAAGGCTTAGCCCGCGAGCACTAAATGATTGTTGGGCTTGCAAAACGGTGAATCTTGGACCAGGAAGATTTACTTCACTAGCCCTTGAAATGAGCCCGTCACGCCTACCTGTTGGTACATTGTAGTTAGGTCCTCCAGCTATGTAAACTGCATCTCGAGTAGCAAGTGTGATGATATCAGCACAAGAAACCTTTTGAGGACATGCTCGTTCTAGAGCGGCCTTGATTTTGTCAATAAGTTCATACCCTCTAACTGATCCATTTGCTCCTGCATCTTTCTCTGCTTGGTTATCGCTTGTTGAGTCAATTAATATTGATGCATCGCAACCCTACATATACAGTTATATAATAAATTAATAAATCATTTATCTTTAATTATTCGTATGAACAAGTATTTATTATGATTCATCAAGTGATGATACACCAATATAAACTTGAAGAATTATTGTGAAATACAAACATATTAGTGCAATAAGTCAATAACATAACACACACAATATACATGGTAAAAATGTATGAGTTATAAAAAGTTACACGTTTAGTAAAGAAAATAATATGAATATCTATATATATAAATTAAAACTCAATGGGAAGACATTATGTTAGCATTAATGTTCAAACCTATGACCTCATACTTATTATATTTTAACTTTAACCACTATTCCAATAACACATCTCATATCTACAATGTTTTGTTAAAAAGAGTTAATAATATTCATAAACTTGAAGTCGAACGAAGCAAATTAATAATTTTAAATACTAGATATTGGATAATAAATTTTGATGTTTAATAATAATTGAAAAAATATATTTAAATAGTACGAGTATAGAAGTAAATATTGTTGGAATAAAGTAAGAAAATTCAAGGCATCAGGTCTAGCCGCCTGATCGGACGCGTGTCAGCCCGTTGGACTCCAACGATTTGATCTTTGGATTCCCTCACTTTATTTCTTGAGTAATTCTTATAACCCCCAATTTAAGAGGATGTTTAAGGTGATTAATCACCACCATTATTCACTTGATAAGTAACTCTCATAACCCTCCATTTAAGAGGATGTTTAAGGTGATTATTCATTTCCCTTGATGCTTGGGATTCTTCTTCTATGTTCTTTCATGTTTCTCTATAAATAGAAGAAGCCTTTTTTTTTTTCTTTTGATTTTTACACTTGAAAAATACATCAAGCACAATAGTCTAAACACATTCTCTATTGGGCATAAGTTACTTGACTCAATCTTCCACCCAAAAGTGTCTTTGTGTGGAAGTGGGTGTGTTAATCTTAGGGAACGTGTCACGGTGCCGACGAATACAATTGAGCACCTTAGTTGCGCCGAAAATTCGTTTTCAAGTTAGTGATTTGCATCACGACACACCGATATCGTTCCATTATTGTTTGTGGCATTATCTTTTTTATCTTAATTAAATATTTTTATACTATATATTGTACTAGAATACGCCTCTATTTACAACAAATGTAACTAATTTAATCTATATTTGTATTTTATTACATAATTTTTCTTATAAAATCTCAATTATAATATACATATAATGACCTGGGGCATTGTCCGGGCCAAAAACTAGCTAGTTATGTATAAATAGTGTGACATCATATCTTTCTCATATTATCATATTAACACTTTCCTCATTCAATCTTGTTTATATGTGTACTTGGGTACTCCCTCCATTATTTTTAACTTTCATACATTAGTAAAATGCAATAGAAATAAAAGTAGGAAATAAAGTGTATAATACAAAAACGAAAATAAAACAACACCCTTAAAAATAAATCTTACCCTAACAAAACAATCATGAAAATGCATACGTAACAAGGCAGCAGGGACTGTTCGATCAGCCTTGTATTGCTGCTGAACTACTTGTCGAACAATATTTTCAGCATTAGGACAAGATTTAGTATAGAAACCAACTTGAAGAGCTGAACTCAAAGATATAGCAAAGCATAAGAACCAGGAAATAATGCCTAAAGTGATATTCAAATGCTTATGAAATCTTGCCATTTTGATGGTGCTACTACAATTGTACTAGTTAATTATTATATGATGCAATGCTTTTTGTTTTGAGTGTACAAAATTGAAAACGTAGAGGTGGGTTATATATATGTTTTGAGGCAGCTAGATAAGATGGGACACTAAATGAAAGTCAATAGACAGGGTGGGTACTGGGTAGTACAATTGATGATTGTTTTTTTTTTTTTTTGACGGTAGTACAATTGATGATTGATAGACATACACCAATATGTTATTTTAAATGTGTTTGGTAGTAAAGAATCTTTCCGATCTACATTATTTTAATCTAAAATTTGTAATGTTTTGTAACTCCATTTGTATCTTAATAAGTGAATCACTTTTTAAAAATAAATAAATTTGAAGTGCAACACTTTCTTATATGAAAATATTTCTTTTTTATTTTATTATTTTTCTGTTATCTCTAAGGGAAGGTCTCTTTTAAATTTAAAGAACCTATTATTTGTAACGTTGAGTCTCTTGAAACAAAGAGACCTATTATTTAATTAAAGGGTCTCTTATTTGAGGTGTCTTTGTGCATTTTTGTAGAAATGAACCCACCCATTGGGCAATTACATACTCTTTAGCATTCATCAATTTTTCCCATTGTCTCTACGTACACTTACATTACATTTTTTTTATAGTAAAATAACCTCTCATACATCTTATATTCTTATATCAATATATTTAATTCTCAACGACGTCCTTATTTTACCAGGTATATTTGTCCATTTATGTTTAAATGCGGGCGTTACCTGGTAAAATAAGGACATCGTTTAACAAATCCCAAAAAATATTACCTAATGAACCAGTTGTAGGTCACTTTGGCCTAATAGAATAAGATACCCCCCAAAGGTAGGATTATTCATGTATAATCGAAAGGTCAGATTATTAGAATTAAATTTTCCTTAATTAAATATCTTAGTGTGCAAAAGTGTGAAGTTGGAAATATAATATGTGGGTAAATAATTTAATAAGCGAGAAAGTATTTTATTTACACTTAAAATTTTTAAAAAAAAAAACACTAACTTGAAATAATTATATTTAATTTTTTTTTTATGATAAATAATTACTTTTTATGTTTCTTATTTATTGGTTTTACTTCCCCCGAAACGAAAGCCTTCACACATTTTATTTATTTCTATCCTAGTTTAAAAGAAAGAAAAAATAAGAACATTAATTTACTAAATCTTGATCATGTATACCTATAACCTCAAATTTTTAATGTTAGTAGAGTGTATCCGTGGTAATGAACAGGATATATGACACATATATAGTATGAATGTTTAGAAAAGAAAAATAGTTTTTTTTTTTTTTTTTTTTTTTGTTGTTGTTGTTGTTGGTGGTGGTGGTGGATTGGTGGAGGTTATTTGAAGGTTTGCCTCCCCCCCCCCCAAAAAAAAGTGCACAAATTAAAATTGAAGGATTAAGGTTTTGGAAAGTGTTGGTGAGTAATAACTTCTATTGTTTTTATTTACTTGCAACACAACGTTTTGGCACCTGGTTTGAGGTCGAGATAATATAATGTAAACGGACATATTATTTAAATTAAATGTTACACATGATATCTGACCGTACTCTAATCCTCGTGTTAAAATTATTATGATAATATTGTTCGGTTACCTTCACTAATCATCTCTTAAAATTGCATGCCAAAAAGGTGTGTTGCAAGTAAAAAAAATAAAATAAAATAGAGAAATAGTTTGTAATTTATTTATTTATTTTTCTTTGAAAAAAGATGGTTTGTAATTTTATAACACTATAATAGCACTTTCTCAAAAATAAAATCCAAAAACAGTAAAAGAATTCATGTCAAAAAATAAAAAGCAGTATACTAATTGAAATTTCATCCTTATATATCTCAAATTTTTTTTAATGTTAGGTAGATATTTTCACGTGCATGGTTGCTATTGAAACTCATTGTAATCTCACTTGTAAGTACTGACATTAGAGAATGAAAAAATATGATTCCATTTTATAAGGTAGAGGAGTTACTCCTATTATAACCAATTGGTTTTAGTATAAATGTTCCTTGGGTCTTGTTTGTAAACCACTAAACCATAACTCTCTTCCTTATTTGGGTTACGGATGGCTTTCTTATTAAACCATTGATTTTTATTTTATTTTATTATATTTATTTATTTATTATTTATTATTTGTTTTTTTTTCTTACGAAATCACACCTCAGCAATAATTTTATTATTATTATTATTATTTTGGCCAGCTACTGATGAGTTTCAGAATCTCCAGCATTATTAAGTGCAATTGAGAAAATTATACATTCTTATATTATGATTTGTATTTGTATCATTCGTAAAGGTCGATCATATTATTAGCAACTTGATATTAATTTTTCATGCATGCAAGTTCTTAGAAGTTGTCCTGTACACTATAAATCTTTAAACTACTGCTTGGTTCGGACTTATTTGTTCTTGCTTCATTGTAGAATAGGCATAACAATACCAAATTTGAAATTAATGAAGATCAGAATATTGGACAAAAATTACAGCTTCAAATTCTGGTCTTCAACACATAATACAAAGCGCTGCCTTTTAATTTATTGATAGTTATGTAGCTTATAAATAATTAAATATAATACGGAGTACTAGTATATAAACATGCATGTACTACAAAGTATGACTTTGACGGATAGGAGTATAGGACAATTGTACAACGCTACGAGGTACATTATAACAATTCTACTGTATTAGATTGTGATTTTTGTGATCAATTAAATACATTCTTAATTTAAGACCATGATCTGTTCATCTTATTTTTCTAAATTGAAAAAAATTTACAAGCTGAAATTATTTTTACTAAATTGAAATTAATTTTACATATTAAAACTTTTTACTGATTTTTTTTTCTTTAATATATTTGCTCTTTAAAGTTACTGATTTTTAATGATTAAATATTAAATTTAATTGGACTTTTTTTTTTTCTGGATTGAAATTATTTTTATGGAACTGAAATTATTTTAAGAAATTTGGGTTAAGATAATCCCAACTGTTAACAGTGTGTGCAAAATTATACAACATCAACTATTTGCTATCAACGGTAAAGCCTTTTGTACTATATGTGCAAAATGGTACGCCAGCCACTTTAAATGCATTATTATATTGATATAATTAGTTTCAAAAAATATTTTAAAAACCAAAATTGACATAATATTTTTTTCGGTTTTTATACTTACAACACACCCTTTTTTTTGACATGCTAAGCTATTTGGAAAAGTGATTCAGACTATGTAAGCGGACAAATTATGCTATAAATTTAAATCATAGCAACTTAACATTTTCTTTAAAAAAACATAACACCTTTTTCTTATCGGTAGTAAAATTTGTTAATTTTTAATATCTCTCTTAAAGTGTGTGTCATGTCAAAATAGTGTGTTATTGTAAATAAAAATGGAGGAATTATGGATTTTTATAAAAAATTAATATAAAAATAATATAATAATGAATATGGATGAAATATTGTTTGAGATACCTTCTCCGATGGCTGGTGTACCATTTTGCACATATACAACAAATGAATTGCTAAAAGCAAATAACTGAGGCCGTATTATTTTGCATCCACCGCTAATATATATTTGGGATTATTTTAAGCCAATTTTCCTTATTTTAAATTAATACGTAAGGTGAAGACAACAAGGCAGCAATTACTTTTTAAACATTTTTATATGATATTTGAAAAAAAAATTATAAGATATTTATATAAAATTATAATTTATTACACATATGAAATATTGGAAGTTTACCCACAAAAAAAAAATCTAAAATAATATTAATATTGAAAAGTTAGACAAATAATTTTCTTATAATTTTTTCTATGTATGTTAAATTGAAAGAAAATACTTATAATTGGTTAAAATATATCATAAATGACAAGAAATTACAATATACGAGTATATAGGGTTAATAAGAATCAGAGACGAATGAGAAGGAATCTTGATCGTACAAATAAATCTAATGATTCACATTTCACTTGCGCAAAATGCACATTTAGCACAAAACTAATGCACATCCAGTATAAAATTTATGCACATTAATTTTCACTTTCATTTTTTCAAAGTTTTTACTCTCCAGTGCGATGACCTTTCTCTGTCCTCCATTAACGCTTGTTTTGAGTTCAAACTTTCAACTTTAGAGATGATAATTTAATTATGGTCATGAACGTCTTACAAACACAACAAGAAGTATCAATGAATTATATAGGCTTCGATACTGAGGTGGGTTCTGCATATAAACTCACATGTCAAATTGCATTCCTGATCTTGTAGCGTCAAATATTAGGCACACCATTTGAAATGTATATGTCTTACCTTGAAAATAATCCATCCTATAACTTTACAACGATGGACTATAGTGGAAATCATCAATTAATCAATTGACTAAATTATAGTTTAATCGCATATAAACTTACTTAGCTCATTTGGAAAATATTCAACTATATGCACATTTTATTCAAAATAAATGCTGTTTTTGTACAAATGATTTGCACATTTAACAAAATAAAAATGAACATATCATTAACAAAGAAAATATGCGCATTTTTTCATAGGAATAATGCACATCATTTTAAGAAATTATGCATATTTAACTTTCAGTTCAGATTCCCATCTTTTCTTGCTATGCTTCGTGACAAACTAACTGTAGTTGTCATCGAACTTCTGAATATTATAGAACATAGAGGGAAGACATGGGGAAGAGAGATAAATTATAGGAAAAATAAAGTTCTTATATGTACAATTTTTGTCATTAATAAAACATGTAATGAGAGTAGTTGATCATATATATCCTTGAGGTGCGAGGTTCGATTCTCATCGGGCATATATACCATCCTCCTACCCCCTCTGAACAGAACAAGTTTCAAAAAAAAAAAAAAAAAAAAAAAAAGCCCAAATAACACCAAATAAAAATATCATATTGCAAAGCTTGGTTATAAATCATATCTAGTCTAGCTCAAAAAGTTAGTTTAAGGGCTTATGTGATCTTTCAAAAAAAAAAAAAAAAAAAAAAGGCTTTTATGTTTACTTATGTAACACTTCTCTTTATGAAAATGAAAAGATAAAAAGAGAGAAGGGTCCTTAAATGTTATTATTTTTATTTTATGTTTTTAATATTTTTATTGGTGTAATTTAGTACAATTCTGCATATGTCAATGTCATTACTCTCATTAGCAAACGTTACCTCCTTCCTAACTACTCTAGCGCATATATAAACTTAAGTGGCTTGGGGGTAGCAAACTCGATCTCTCATGAAGTTTCTTACCTTGTAGTTTCAATTATAGGAGAACCTTTTACCGGGATTATTTGGTGTCTAGTCCTTGTAAATTATTTTTATTTATTAGTCAATTAAACTTAAAACCTTATTTTACTTATATAAAATAAAATGAGATACGTTTAATAATTAGCTTTGAACAAGAGTTGGTGATTACAATCCCGGCCCCTCGAATATTAACAGGCCAAGATCTGGGCCTTTGTCCGCCATTGGGTCCAAAAAATAAGACAATCAACTAGCCACTTGAACAAACTAGCTACAGTAGCACCTAAAACACATGCACAAAGCCACAAACTATAAAATTTGCATGTAAATTGTTTAAGCTAGTTGAAAGCTAGATTTCCATTTCGGGGATTTGAGGGAATCAAATCTTTAAAACAATTGTTAAGCAATTTCAAAAAGTAAAAA